TCATCTAGTCCAACCCCGTTCAGGCAGGAAACTCTATACTACAGTATTTCGGACAAATGGCTGTCCAGTCTCTTCTTAAAAACTTCCAGTGTTGGAGCATTCACCACTTCTGGAGGCAGGTTGTTCCACTGATTAATTGTTCTCACTGTCAGGAAGTTTCTCCTTAGTTCTAGGTTGCTTCTCTCCTTGATTAGTTTCCATCCTTTGCTTCTTATCCTGTCTTCAGGTGCTTTGGAGAATAGCTTGACTCCCTCTTCTTTGTGGCAGCCCCTGAGATATTGGAACACTGCCATCATGCCTCCCCTCGTCCTTCTCTTCATTAACGATTCAATTAACAATCCTCCTGCCTTGCGACCAAAATGGGCAGCCTCCATTACTGTCGTAAGTCGAGGATTACCTGTATAAGGCCTTGGTAAGACCACACTTAGAATATTGCACTCAGTTTTGGTTACCACAATATGAAAAAGATGAGACTCTAGAAAGACTACAGAGAAGAGCAATAAAGATAAAAGCAATAAAGAGGGCTGGAGGCTAAAACATATGAAGAATGGCTTCAAGAATTGGGGTGACATGACAGCAGTGTTCCAATATTTGAGGACTGCCACAAAGAAGAGGGTGTGTGTGTCAACCTATTCTCCAAAGCGCCTGAGGGCAGGACAAGAAGCAACGGATGGAAACTAATCAAGGAGAGAAGCATCCTAGAACTAAGGAGAGATTTCCTGACAGAATAAACAAGTGGAACGACTTACTTCCAAAGGTTGAGGTGCTCTGTCACTAGAGCAGGGGTAGGCAACCTTGGCTCTTTTATGACTTGTGGACTTCAACTCCCAGAATTCCTGAGCCAGCCATGCTGAGGAGAAAGAGAGAGGTTTCCATACTGAGCCATGCTGACTCAGGAATTCTGGGAGTTGAAGTCCACAAGTCATAAAAGAGCCAAGGTTGGCTACCCCTGCACTAGAGGCTTTTAAAAAGAGACTGGACAACTATTTGTCTGAAATAGTGTACGGTCTTCTGCTTGAGCAGGTGGTTGGACTAGAAGATCTCCAAGGTTCCTTCAAACTCTGTTATTCTGTTAATTCTGAACAGTTGCCATTGGGGCTATAGATACAAATTGTTATATGTGCAAAATGCAGAAATGGAAGGTTCAATTCCAGGAAAGCACAAAACAAAAAGAGGCTCATTTTGAAGAAGTACAGCAAAGAACAGGAGATGACAAATATATTCCTTCAATCTTTTATTGTTACATTTTATTAATAAAATTTAGAAACATAGAATTACATTTTCCATTGCCTATTTCCATTGGACTAAAAGCCATTACTCTGTTTCCTATAGAAATATCACTTTCAGTAATACAAATTTGAATGATGCAACCATTTTGTGGGATTCTCTAACTAAACTAAACAAGACCTATCTGTGTGACTTCTGTCCAAATACAGATTTGCTAGCTCTAAAAGAGATCACCCCAAGCCTGGAAATAAAATGGGGGCTGCTTAGGAAAGAAGGTTTATTAATGAGCAGAACCAGCAACAGCATGCAGTTCTGGGACACCTGACAAAATGGCTGAGTGAGTGGATGGATCTTTATTAAGGCTCTGATTGAGATGCTCCAGGGAGTTATGCAATGCAGTGAGCCTTGTGTCAATGGTGGTGAGTTAATCCTATTATGTCCTAAAGACCTGTGGGAAGAATCCAGAGAAAGAAATATTTTGGGAAATATTAAAAAGGCAGAATATATTTCCCCACAGGATCTTAAAGGCATAACCCACCCCCAAGTCTCTCTGCCCCAAACAGAAACCAGGTCTGCAGAAATGCAGATGTGACAATCTTGTCAGAAAGATTGGAGCCAGGAAGATTGGAACTGATGAGATTAGAAAGACAAAGATCCCTAGAATCAACAATCCCTCACATCAAAAAAATCTAACACAGGACATAGTCATCAGCCACAACCCCAGGGAAGCAGGATATGACCTTTGGGACATAATAGGATTAATCCACCGCTATTAGAATACCAGAAGGGCACACTCAGACTCAGGTCAAAGTTCATGCCATAGGAACAACTCCAAACAAAAGCTCAAGAAGGTATAAACACCCACCACTCCCTACTACATGTGGTCAGTTTTCTCAGAGCCATCTTTCTGTCTGGCTCTCCTCTTCAATAAACTGCAACCTCCTTTCTAAAGCAGTCTCCATTTTGTTTATTCCCAACTTGGACTGTACCCTGATGAAGATTTTTCCTTCAACAAATCATATCCTGCCCTTAGAATTTGGGTGGAGGAATGTAAATTTTTAACCCCATCAGCTGTGGGGGCTGAAGGTGTTTTGTTTATGATTAGATTGGCCCAGTCTTTCTTAAAAGGTACAAAATATCCATCTCTAAAGACTTGAGGCTTCTACTTGAGGTCTATTAAGAAAGACTGGGGCTGCTTTCTACCTTTCTTAAGATTTTTCTCCATTTCTCCTTTGGGAAAATATAATATCCTGCCTCTTTTAATATTCAGAATAAGGAATATTTTAATCTGGGGAGGGGGGGCTTCCTACACAGTGATACTTTATTTAACAAAACAAAAGATGAAGCCAAGCTGCTGCAACCAATATTAAAAAGGTGTAGTAAAAGAGTAGGTTCTATAAAACGTTCTCCCGTGCCAAATTTAAACAAAGGAAAAATTGGTGCATTGGTGTGTTTACTAAACAAGACAGTTGCTTGAAAACAGGATTCTGCACTTTCCACAGTGGAGTTTCCAGGGTCCAGGTTGCTATTTAACACAATACAAGAATTGTGCCCAGATAAGAAAAGCAACATCTCCTAGCACAATGGTGACGAACCTATGGCACGCATAGGTGGACACACACACCGTCTCTGTGGACACACACACCGTCGACCCAGCCCCGCCTCCCCCCATGGCCCTCTCCTCACCAGCAGCCCCCCCCAGAGAGTCACCCCTGGGCGCGGCCCATGTGAAGCAACGCAGCCAAGGACATGGTAGCCGGGCAGCAAGGACAAGACTCCGCCCTTGTGCCCCATCGCACGCAGATGATGCTGCAGGGCACAGGTGGAGGGCGTGGTCACTATGGCGCTGCTGGGCTGCCTGGGTGATCTGTGGAGGTGGTGGATGGTCCAGCAGGCAGAGTGGGGACAGCGGTGGGGGGGCAGTTTTTGGGCACTCAGTCTCTAAAAGGTTCGCCATCACTGTCCTAGCAAATGGCTGCAATTCAGCAACCCTTGACTAGCCAAGAGCTGATGAACAGGCTACTTTGTCCTTCTGGGTCATTCTCTTTCCATAGGAGAGTGCTGTTGTCTATCTCCGCTGCCCATCATGCATTTGGCATCTACAAAAGCAGTGGATCCTGTGGCTGCACATCTCTGTTGCAACTCCAGAGGTCACTCCTCCTGGGTCCTTTCCACAAGTCTGTAGTATGGGCCTCTCCAGCCCATCAGCTCCGTGTGAGTCCCCTCCTCCACAACCTCTCCTCCTTCCAGTACCACAATCTTGTCTGCGTTCTCCACCGTCTGCATCCGGTGAGCAATCACCAGCACCGTCCGGGCTCCACTGTTCTGCACAGAACGCTGGATCTGGAGAAGCAATAGCATTTAGACGTATATACCGCTTCACAGTGCTTTATGTCCCTATCTAAGCAGTTTACAGAGTCAGCATATTTGCCCCCAGCAATCTGGGTCCTCATTTTACTGACCGTAAAAGGATGGAAGGCTGAGTCAATCTTGAGCTGGTGAGGATCGAACTGCTGGCAGTCGGCAGAATTAGCTTGCAATACTGCATTCTAACCACTGCACCACCACGGCTCTTAAATGTTAAGAATTATTTCCTATGTTTCTTAGCCAGAATAGTTTTGTTCAAACTCTTTGGGTGCGTTTTGTGTGTGTGTGTGTTTGACGGAAGGAGCTGGAGTCAGAAAGTCCTCAGTGTACAAGTATAGAATAGGTCAGGGATAGACAACCTCGGCTCTTTTATGACTCATGGACTTCAACTCCCAAAATTCCTGAGTCAGCTATACCCCTGGAATAGGTGGTACCTGGCTCAATGCTAGCAATTGTGAGAGGGATTTAGGTGTCCTAGAAGACAACCACTTATGTATAAGTGGGCAGTGTGCTGCAGCTTCCAAAAAAGTTAATGCAGTCCCAGAGGGATAGTATCAAGATCACTGAGGTGATAGTAGCGCTTTATACTGCACTGGTTAGACCACATTTGGAATACTGCATCCAGTTCTGATCAACATGATACAAAGAAGACATTGAGGCTCTTAGAAAGAGTGCGGAGAAGAGAATGAAGATGATCAGGGGACTGGAGGCTAAACTCTATGATGAACGATTGAGGGAACTAGATATGTCTAGTCTAACGAAGAGAATAGCAATAGCACTTAGACTTATATACCGCTTCACAGTGCTTTACAGCCCTCTCTAAGCCTATTGCCCCCAACAATCTGGGTCTTCATTTTACTGACCTTGGAAGGATGGAAGGCTGAGTCAACCTTGAGCTGGTGAGAATCGAACTGCTGGCAGTCGGCAGAATTAGCCTGCAATACTGCATTCTAACCACTGCACCACCATGGCTCATCAACAATGAGCCACAGCTCATAAGCAATGATACAGAAGAGATCCTGGGTGGATTCCTTAGAAGCACCAGAGAGAAGATCCTTCTGGTTTCCACCAAAAGGTGCTTCTCCAGCTCTGCCGTAGAACCCACATTTTCACAGACAGATTTGGCCTCAAGTGTTTTGCAGTCTGGCAAACAACAAAAGCCGTCCCTACATTCATGGCCCTAAAACAGACCCAGTACAGGCAGTCCTCGACTCACAACAGTTCATTTAGTGACCGTTCAAAGTTACAATGGCACTGGAAAAAAAGCGACTTATGCCAGTTTTTCAGAGTTACGACCTTTGCAGCATCGCCAGGATCACGTGATCAAAATTCAGATGCTCGGCAACTGTGTCCTACTTATGACCGTTGCTGTGTCCCAGAGTCATGTGATCACTTTTTGCGACCTTCTGACAAGCAAAGTCGATGGGGAAAGCCCAGATTCACTTAACAACCGGGTTAGTAGCATATCAACCGCAGTGATTCACTTAACAACTGTAGCAAGAAAGGTCGTACAATTGGGCAAAACTCACTTTAACAACTGTCTCACTTAATGACAGAAATTGGGGGCTCAGTTGTGGTCATAAGTTGAGGTCGACCGGCACTGGTTGTCTTCTATTACAACAATTCGTTTAGCAATTGAAATTATGACAGCCCTGAAAAAAAGGGATTGTTGACTGGTCCTGAAACCTCACACTTTCTTGAAAAGGAACGAGGCCCCTGAACCAACCCAGCTAGAGTCCACCCCCGAGTCCCCTCACGAGTCCCCAGCACGTACTGCAGCTTCGCTCTCGGGGTCCAAGGCGCTTGTGGCTTCATCCAGCACCAACACTTTGGGATCACGGATCAGGGCCCGGGCGATGGTCAGCCGTTGCTTCTGCCCCACGGACAGCTGGCCTCCTTTCTCCCCCACCTCTGCAGGAAGATAAGCAAGAAAGATGGAGGGGAGCAAGACAAATCAATCCCCTAAATCTTGTTGCCCCAAAGNAGAGAGAGAGAGAGAGAGAGACGCAGCAAAGGCAGGAGCCCCACCCAATAAGCTTGTCAGCTTGTTGGAGAACAGCATGAGGCCTCTCTTTTTTACACACACACACACACACACAGAGAGAGAGAGAGAGAGAGAGAGAGAGAGAGAGAGAGAGAGAGAGAGAGAGAGAGAGAGAGAGAGAGAGAGAGAGAGAGAAGGAAAGCGCAAGTGCTTCTCTCTGTCTCTCTCTCTGTCTCTCTCTCTCTGCAAATGGACTGGGAGCCGCAGTAGAAGGCTCAAAGAGCCACATGCGGCTCCGGAGCCATGGGTTGCTGACCTGTGGTATAACCTATCGTGTTTCCCAAAAATAAAACCGCGTCTTATATTAATTTTCGCTCCAAAAGACACATTAGGGCTTGTTTTCTAGTTAGAGCTTATGTTTGGGGAAATACGGTACTAAATGCATCTGTCTGGCTGACGATCTTAACTAGGGCTTATTTTGGGGGTAGGGCTTACATTACGAGCATCCTGAAAAAAACCATGCTAGGGCTTAATATCTGGTTGGGTCTTATTTGGGGGGGAAACACGGTAGTCCTCAGGTTACACCAGCCAGTGGGACTGCTGGAGTTTCTGTTGCTAAGTAATGTACTCGTAAAATGTGATGTCACCTTTTGATAGTACCTCACAGAGTGTTAAAAAAAATGTATTGATGCTCTTACAATTCTGATTTGCTCTTTGTTTCCAATAAAAACTTACCAGATTCCAACTGAGGCAACCTAGTCCTATTATGGACGATGCCTCCAACAGAACAAAAGTTTCACGAGTGTCCTTATGTAAAACGTTTATTTGAAAAGGATATAGCCCAACAGTATGCCTTTAATTACTCATTGCACACAATTGAGTTTTAATGTATTGTGCCTGTTCTTCATATTTTGTATTAGGAGCCATGACAAATCAATGAACACCCCTGCTTTACAGAGCAGGAGAACAAGGAGAATAAGGACTTGAAAAGGAAACTATAGTATTAGATCACAAGAAAAATACAGGCCAATTACAATGAAACAAAGTGAAAATTATGACCAGCTACGCCAATACAGCAGATTTCCCCTTTATTAGAGGATGTCACAGGACTGCATTGCTTAGCAATGGCAATCCAACGGCTGCCTTTAACTGAATCCTGCCGGTCATTAGGTGAGGACTTCCTCACCAGTTCCTGATGGCTTCTCACAACCAAAGTTTGTGGGGAACACAGCAGGAATTTGCAATTTGGGTGTCTCACATGCGGGCTGGCAGGCAGTTAAGTGGTTGCTGCTGGGTGGGGTGTATTTGTGTGTAGCTTCAGCAGTGTGAGTGAGGGATAGGACTGGCCCCTGCTAGATGGGGGAGGGAGGGTGTGTGTGTGGCCACAGCAGTACATGTTACGTTTTCTGGTTCCTAGGGTGGCTTATGCCAGGTGGGGGAGACTTATCTCTGACTTGTAATCTTTCCTACTGGCTTCCCCATTGCCTTTGCATGTGGGAAGGCGGCAAATGGTGATGATCTGATTGTGGAGTTTGGAGAGGCCAGGGGCTGAGGACAATGCTGTCCCAGGCCTCTCAGCCATTGGGGAAGAAAGGTAGTCGACCGGACAAACAGCTGCCTGCCTTCACAGACACGGGAGGATCGGCTGCTGACAGGCACTGGTGCCAATAGGCAGCAGATCCCCCTCTGATGAAGAACAGCTGCCTCCCCCGCTCAATCCAAGGGCACGGAGAGTGGACCTTAGGCAAACTCAGAGAAAGGCTGCGAGGTTACTCGAGAGAAGGTTGCTCTACCCCTCCGCACAAGGAACACCTGGAGTGGATTGATTTAAAAAGAAGCGGTGGGGAGTTAGCCTTTGCCAGGAACAATTGTTTGCTTTGGCTTACACTCCTCCAATTTTGACTCGTGACTTGCCTGGAGAACTGCCTTCTGCCTTGTACCTTGCCTTTGCCCTGAGGACCGCCTTCTGTTTGTGTCTTGCCCTTGCCTTGTGGACTACAGTTTGCCTCATGGGCGCGCTTAACCGGGTGGACTGGACTTAGGACCCTGGACCTTGCCCTGTGAGCGTGCTCCTACTCTGCGGACTTTTCTTTGTAATATACGGGCTGTTGTTTGGGGGACTGTGGGTATAGTGATTGTGGGTATGGTGTAACAATTGGAACTTGAAGGACTAGTTGTAACCACCATTTGTTTAGTGCCATCATACTCTGAAACGATGGACTGAACGAAGGAATGAGCGTAACTCAAGAGCCACCTTTCTACATTGTAACAATGCAAGCAGGATTTCACTTCAGGGGAGCCAAGAATCAGGGCTGGTGGGTTTTCTGGGGGGAAAATGGACCTTTAAAGGATGAATCGAAGGGAGGGAAATGGATTTTGCCCACCTGCAGTGAAGCCTCCTTCTAGCTCACGGATGAATCCCAGGGCATCAGCTTCTTTCGCTGCTTTGCTCACGTCTTGCTCACTGCAGCCTTGCAGGCCGTAGGTGATATTGTCCCAAATGGACCCGGAGAATAGGACGGGCTCCTGGCCCACCAGGGCCACCTGCAATTGGACAGGGAGGCCTATCAGGACAAGGCTGGGCTGAGGGAGAAACTCCATTGATCTTCCTCATCAAGCACCTTTCCAGGGTGGAGCTAGTTAATACTCAAGGCTGGTGCTCAGAATGTGCAGAATTCAGAATAACAAGAGTTGGAAGGGACCGTGGAGGTCTTCTCGTCCAACCCCCTGCTCAGGCAGGAAGCCCTATTACCATTTCAGACAAATGGTTTCCCAATCTCTTTCTAAAAACTTCCAGTGTTGGAACATGCACAACTTCTGGAGGCAAGTTGTTCCACTGATTAATTGTTCTCACTGTCAGGAAATTTCTCCTTAATTCTAGGTTGGTTCTCTCCTTGATTAGCTTCCATCCATTGTTTCTTGTCCTGCCTTCAGATGCTTTGGATAAAAGTTTGACCTCCTCTTCTTTGTGGCAGCCCCTGTGGTATTGGAACACAGCTATCATGTCACCTCTAGTCCTTCTTGTAGTGAATCTTACGTGCAGATGTACGATTCACTACATCCCCCAACTGTAGACCTTGAGCTGTTATCTGCTCTTCTTTGGAGACAAAGTGGCAACACCCAGCCAACCGTGCCTGATTTTGAAAGCTAAGTAGGATCATGCTTTGTTGGCACCTGGATGAACTCCAGGTCCATGGCTAGACTAGGAAGGTCACCAAAAGAAATCACATCAGGGGATAACATTTACACTGTTGCCAGAGAAACGGTGCAGCCACAGTCCTAAATCACAAGAGATTCTCATCTTTTATATGAACCACGTGTGCAGAATTTCCTGAATGCCACACCTTTTTACTTATCAAGGAACATAAGGAATCAAAAGCCTTTGATGCTAGGCATCTTTTACTACTTTCTGCACCAGAGCAGATCTGAGCAACTTTGGAGATTTCAAGCATCAAATTGGTGGTTCACAAAGTTGCCTCAATGGCATTGCGTTCACCATTCACTGGGGCATTTTTGGATGTCAGTCACACAATTTCTGAAAGACAGAGGCTCTTGCCCCCCCCTTTTTTTGAGACAGGAAATGCATTGAAAGCACAGTGTAGGCCAGTGATGGCGAGCCTTTTAGAGACCGAGTGCCCAAACTGCAACCCAAAACCCACTTATGCATCGTCGAGTGCCGGGTGGGTGTGGCCCATTGGCTGGGTGGGGCCAATTGGGTGGGCATGGCTGCAGTGGTAACGGCAGACTGGGTGGGACTAAAAAGTTCAATCAATCCCAACTTTGCAAGATCTTCTTTTTCCCGCGAGAAGTTGAAATTGACTGATTGAACTTTTTTTTTTTGTACACGGCGGCAGAGGCCTAAAGCGAAAAGGTTTTATAAAACCCAGCTGAATGCCTAGGACTCGGGCAACAGCGCACATGCCCACAGAGAGGGCTATGAGTGCTGCCTCTGGCACCCGTGCCATAGGTTCGCCACCACTGGTGTAGGCCATAACAATTAGAATTTTAAAACACAAGCACACAAAAATACCCAGTCAGTTCCAGCCACGTCCTTCTAATATCATGTGGTCCTGCCTACTCTACATCACCCCCTTCAACCACCCAAGGAGACCCAGGCCTCATCCTGCAGGCAATAAGAATCACAACGGACATGGGGCTGGTCTCATCCAAACTGCGTGGCCTAACATTTCTTCACTCTCCATCTTCCTTACTGAATGAACCCCCATTCTAGTGCCAAGAGACCCAAATGTTTCAGTCCAGAAGAGGGTAAAGTCAAAAGCTGCCTCCACCCACTGCTGCTACCAACCAGGCTGGCGCCTCCCTCACCTGCCTATGGAGATACTTGTGCTCATATTTCCCAACTGGGACTCCGTCCAGCAGGACCTCCCCAGAATGGGGTTCGTAGAAGTGCTCCAGGAGGGCGATGCAGCTGCTTTTTCCGCTGCCGTTCAGGCCTACCAACGCCGTCACTTTCCCAGGGCGAAGCTCAAAGGAGACATTCTAGGGCACAAGGAGATGCAAATGCATGCAAAATGAAGCAGGAATATTCAGTGTTAATGAATGCGCATGAAAGCCAGACATCAGCAACCCGATCCACATCTAAAAAAGCTACACATAACGGGTACCCTGTAAATACCACATACAGCCCAAAGACTACTAGAGAGACATTCCTTGAAGATGGGCTCCAGTAAGAGTCCAAAAACTTGGAAGACGAAACCTCTGGTCCTGGTGACTGACCCAGATTTGATCCTGCATATCTAGATCCTACAGTCTCCTACAGCAGCGTTTCCCAACCTTTCCAGGTTGGTGGGGGGGGGGAAAGAGGAGATGGTTTGTGGGAAGGGCAGGCACATGTGCAAGAGTGGGGCTACTAAGGCATGTCACTCGTGCAAGTGGGGCTGCGAGCACCTGCCACTCGTGCAAGTGGGGCTGCGAGCACCTGCCACTCATGCAAGTGGGGTTGCGAGCACCTGCCACTTGTGCAAGTAGGGCTGCAAGCACCGGCGCCAGCCACTCATGTGAGTGGGGCATGTGTGTGCATGTGTGCACACGGTTGGCCATTCACACAGCCCAGCTGTGAATAGGCCACAGCCCGGAAGTGGGCCGCAGCCCACAGGTTGAGGACCCCTGTCCTACAGTATAGAAACTTATTTTGTCTTTCTAAAGACCTTTAACGTCTCAACGTTCTTCCTTCCAATGTTCTTCAATGAAAGTGAAAGGATTCTGGTTAGGTTTGTAGAACACACAACCCACTTATCTAAGTTACTTAAAGCTTTAGCAACTGCATTTGAGTGATGCACTGGTGGCGTGGTGGGGCAGTGGTTAGAATGCAATATTGCAGGCTAATTCTGCTGACTGTCAGCAGTTCGATTCTCACCAACTCAAGGCTGACTCAGCCTTCCATCCTTCCAAGATCGGTAAAATGAGGACGCAGATTGTTGGAGGCAAAATGCTAAGTCTGTAAACCTCTTAGAGAGGGCTGTAAAGCATTGTGAAGTGGTATATAAGTAAGTCAGTGACCGAGTGCCCCAAAACTGCTCTGCCCCCCCCACCCTGCCCCTTGCCCTGTCCACTCTGCCCTTGCCCTGCCCCACCCCCATTCTTCCCCCCACTCTGCCCCAACCCCGCCCGCCCACAGGGCCACCCACCGCCTCCATGGCCCTCCGCAGCAGGTTGCCCAGGCGGCCCTGCAGCGCCATCGTTGTCCCGCCCTCCGCCCACGCCCCGCAGCATCATCTGCACGTGATGGGGCATGAGGGCGGTCCCTGCTGCCCAGCTGCCATGTCCTTGGCTGCACTGCTCCGCACCCACGGGTGACTCTCCATGGGGGGGCTGCTAGTGAGGAGGGGTCCACGGGGGAGGCGGGACTGGGGCAATGGTGCACGTGCCCACAGAAAAGGCTCAGAGTGCCGCCTCTGGCACGCGTGCCATAGGTTCGCCACCACTGGTCTAGGACGGTGCTATTACTATTGCTATTGGGTGTCATGCAAAGCAGCCCGGATGCTCTCCCATATGGTACCTTCAGGACCTGGATCTCGGGGCGGGAGGGATAGCAGAAGGAAACATTTTGGAAGGAGATGCATCCGGAGAGGGATTTTGGAGACAGCGTCCCTTCTGTGCTGACAGAAGGTTTCCGGTCAAGATATTCAAATACTTTTTCTGCTGCGCCCACATTGCTCAGGGCATCCCCGTAAGTGTAAATCAGGGCCTGTGGGAGGAAAAGGAAAGGGCAGCAATCTGAAATTTGCAATTTCAGCCAAGTTCGTCTGCAACTTTGAACTTGCAGCTTGGTGCAAATTGCTGGTTTCTGTTCACAAATGGCCACATTTCTTTCTAAAACAGAAAACTCACAGGAATTTGATTTGAAATCTGGAACGCCCTTCCATTCCTTATAAAGATTCACAGCAAAAAAAAAAAAAAAAGACCACCTTGCAAAAGCCCTCAGAGTTTTATTTTTGGAAAACAGCATTTCTGTGGGAAAATAATTGAGTAGGAAGAAACAATTTGGACAAAACCAGAAGCACCAACCAAACTGATAATGTGCGCAGTCATTTCCTCAAAGAAACAGCAGCATTTCTTTTTTTAAAAAAAAGTATTTCTAAAGAAGTTTTGTTCTTTTGTTTCCGCTTATTTGCTACTTGTTGAGTTGCGTGTAATGCATATCTTTCTGCAAAAAAAGAAATCCAGTGTTCCTTTATCCAAAACCAAAACCAAAACCATTTTTTTTAATCTATAAAGGGAGAGACAATTTGGTGTTTATCAGCAGCTCCATCTCTATCCCTTCTTGCCACTTGGAAGTATAGCAGCTTCTCAGCTCCAAGTCACTCAAATGTTCTCCAAATGTCATTTCATGTCAGACCTGCCCCAGCCTGATCCCTTAGGGAAGAAAAACCCTCGACTCCATTTAGCTGAAGTGAAAGGTACTTTTACTAAGAGATGCTGCTTGCAGTAAAGTCAGGCAGAATCTGAGTTTCCTGTGCAACAAGACAAAGCTATTTCCTTCAGTCCCCCTCACACCATGACCAATCCAAATGTCGCCAGCCAATGCAATGTCGCCGGGATGTTTTGGGAACACTGAGGTTTTTGGGCTGGTAACTTTCCATACTGAGGGCAAATGGCCTTGAAGACACCTTGGCACGAACTGGTCTCATGGTGATCTGCTTTTCTTCAGCTGTCAAGCCCCTCCCAAATTCCAACACAAAAATGCATACAGGTTTATTGTCCATCTGTGTCCCCCCCACATGCCTTTGATGGCAGGACGCCAGCGCAGCACCAAGCTGAAGATGATGGACCTGACATTTCAAAACAATCATTACACACAGTCCAACATATGTCGCACAGGCCTACACAAACATCAGTAACTCGCACAAAATGAAATTAGTCTTAAACAGGCCCAGAACTGCAGCCTAGATCTATAAGTAAAATTAAATATAGTTCAACACTAAAATTTGACCACCCTGTAGGGAATGGAATTGCTGGACGGAAATGCATTTTAGTTCTTGAAAAGGAGAGTAAAAAAGAAAGAAACAAAGCAAGAATCCAACTGTAGGGTGCGATGAAGGCAGAAGGGTCAAATGAACAGAGGGTTGAGGAACATGGCAACCACCAAATGACCCGAAGTGCCAATAAACAAGAATATTTGTAGCTCAGGGTTGACACGAGGAGTCCTTGGGCTGTCTGAGCTTGCTTATTTTCTTGCAGACGTTTCATTACCCAAACTAGGTAACATCATCAGTGCTGTTACCTAGTCTGGGTAATGAAATGTCTATGAGAAAACAAGGAAGCTGAGAGAGCCCCAAGGAACCCTCAAGCTGAAGTGCTACAGAAGAAAATGTTGTCAAATCTAAGCGTTCACCAACCTGTACACACCGCCCTACATTTGTCTGGTAGAGGATGAAGGAGACCAAGTTTCCTTCGGTCATGAGGCCAGTGAGGATCTGCTGATAACCACAGTAGAGCAGGATCAGCTTCACGCTCAACCGGAGGACCTGGAGTGGGAGAAAAACAGTAGGCCGTGGCTGAGAATCCTGCCTCTCTCACACGCCATGGCATCTTCTTACTTCTTTTGGGTGGGGATATGAAACATTTTTTTAAATGTTCTTCCATTCTGCAGACATTTTTTGGCAGGGTTGCGATTTCTGGGCAAGAACCAGGTTTTTGGTGCCATACAAAAGGCCAACAGGGTTAGGACCATCCTAATTTCCAAAAGGTGAATGTTTCATAGGGTGGGCAATACAGCAGAAAAGGTATACCTTCTGGGCCTTACCAAATGGCATTCCCTAGTGTAGGAGTCCCCAACCCCCGGGCCATGGCCCACTACCGGGCCACAGCCTAGTCGAAACCGAGCTGTGGGAGAATGGGCAAGTGCACGCATGTGAAGCTCCACTCACACGAGCAATGGGCAAGTGCCCGCATGCGTGCAGAGCTCCACTCACATGACCTGAGGGCGCTTGCGCTCGTGCGTGAAGCTCCACTCACATGAGCAGAGAAATAAACAGCCAATACAGGTAGTTCTCGACGTACGACCGCAATTGAGCCCAAATTTTTTGTTACTAAGTGAAACATTGGCTAAGTGAATTTTACCCCATTTTATGACCTTTTGTACTGTTGTTGTTAAGTGGATCACTGCAGTTATTAAGTTAGTGACATGGTTGTTAAGCGAATCTGGCTTCCCCATTGACTTTGCTTGTAAGAAAGTCATAAAAGGTGACCCCAGGCCACTGCAACCATCATAAATATGAGTCAGTTGCTAAGCATCTGAATTTTGATCATGTGACCATGGGGATACTGTACCGGTCATAAGTGTGAAAAGCAATCGTAAGTCACTTTTCTCAGTGCCGTTGTAACTTTGAACAGTCACTAAATGAACTACCTGTATAGACTCCAGACTAGCATTGGTAGATCAGTCATGAATGGAACAGGTAGTCAAATCCCATGACAAAGGTCAGAATTGTGTAAATCATGGAATTCCCCGTGGTTTTCTATGAAAGTGAAAGTTGGACTTTAAAGAAGCAGGATAGGAAGTATATTGATGTTTTTACACTTTGATGTCAGAGAAGACTCCTGACAGCCAAGAAAACAAGCCGATGGGTCATTCAACAAATTAAACCAGAGTTCTCACTCAAGGCATGTGTCAAGAAACTGCGCAGCAGCTGTCCAGATGAAATTGGAGACACTGACACAAACTTGTAACCTTTTATATAAATATAAATATATTTAACATTCAAATCTACAGCAATCTTTGTCATCAACCAGGAAAGGAAGAACATAAAGATAGTCGGGAACACAGGAATATGCTGAGGTAAAACTAAAACAGTATACAGAACACACAGATGAAAAAGGCGGGGAAAAAGGGAAACTCCCCCTTTGTACTTACAGCAACCAATCACAGTGTAGATTGCCTCATGCATGAATCAGCACTCTCTAACTAATCAACTACAGCTGTGTGTTCTGGCCTGTTGTATACTTCAAGAAGCTCTCAGGGAGCACCTAGCCATCCAGGGGAGCAAAAGGGTTGATTTCTAGAGCTTCCCCTTTCCCAGGCAAGTTTCTTCTGACTTAGAAAACATTCTAAATACAAAACTGTGGTGAATCTGTAGCAGACCAAAAAAGTAATGGTACAAGTAAGACTCCATTTTTCCACCAGAAGTCTGCTCGGAGGAAGTGCCAATCAGCTGGAGCCAATCAGCTGGAGCCCTGCTGGCTCCTGGGGCTCCTGCCGAGCCCAGACAATCCTGCAGTTGCAGCTGCCTCTCCCTCAGGCTTGACTCACTTTGGCTCATTCCCCTCCCCTGCTACACTTGGCTAGCAATCGCGTACCACCTGCCATGTGGCAAAGTATCACAAGTGGTACGCGTACCACCGGTTGAAAAGCCCTGTCCTAGAGGACTTACCCGGACAACGAATACGTAAACAATCCTTTCCACGTCCCTTTGCTTCTTCAGCTGGCAGGTGTCCTCCAAGGACGCCTCATAGCGCTGCGACTCCTTCTCCTCAGTGGCAAAGCTGCGCACAGTCTGCACGGACGAGATTACCTCATACACCACCTCCTCTGAGCGGGCCACCGAGTCCTGGATCGCCTTCAGTAAAGCCTGGATGGACCATGAAGGAAGCAGCAAAGTGAGCCTCCTGAAAACTACCTTGGACGAGGCATCCTGCTGATGGTGGCATACCCAAACCAAAGTTCAGTGGCCTCATTCTGAGGAGAAGACCCCAAAAATGCTTCATTCCACTCCATCGCATTTTATTTCACTTATTTCTCACATGTGACCAACCGGATGCCAGAGTACAAGCTAAAGAGGGAGATGTACTATCCCACTATTATGCTTACTTCCCACAGCCCCCTGGTTAATTTCCTCTCCATGCACAGAGGGAGCTGAAATCCTTCAGAAAGCTGCAGCAACACTTGAGAGCAAAAGAGCTGCCTGCTGGTAGCTGAAATCTGTTGAAATCTTCTTGGCAGGTAGCACTTTTGCTCCACCCTATAATGACCTGGGAGATTGCAATTGGGAGTTCCAGCATGGCAGACATTGGGCAAAACGATTGTGTAGGCATCTTACTTAAGTGTCCTCAGTGACAAGATTTTAGTCTCAATTGTGATCATAACTCGAGGACAAGTTGTAGGATGCCCATCTGCTTTTTCACTATATTTCTATTTGTCTTTGCCTTCAAACTGGCTTCTTCATCCTTTTTTTTTTCCAACTCCTTCTCTGTCTCTCCTTGTAGCTCTCCAGCAAGTGGGGCCCTCATCCTCCTTTTCCTCTTTTCACTTGAGGAAAGAGACAGGGACGCAAACACACAATCCCTTTTCCTTCAGCCCAGGAAAAAGAGGAAACCAGGCTACACAACCCACAACCCATCCTTTTGTACAAGCCACACAGACAAAGGAGTGGGTTTTGATCACACGGCTGCCATCTTGCCTTTTCTGACCTTCTGGAGATGGCACTGCATTCTGCGCTGCTCAGCTCCCTTGAAGTTTCTTTTTTCTTCCCCTCTCTGGCTTGCTTTTCCTTTCCCTCAGCTGGCCCAGTCCCTCGCTCACCAAGCTGGCGTTCCTTCTTCCCCACACGCAATTGGTCTCAGAAACCCAGAAGTGACCATTCCCTCTAGGCCGCGATTTGCCTCCATGATCCCTACCTGATGACGGACATCGTAGACCTTCTGAACGGCCATCATGAGTGGGGTCTCGATCAGCATTAGCAGCGTCAGGCGCCAAGACAGGCGAATCATGAATACATAGAGCCCAATGGCCTTGATCAGGGTGCGCAGGAGGACGTTGGTGTTGAGTGGCACCGAGCGGCTCATCATAGTTGTATCTTTGGAAAGGCGGGAGGCCAGCGCCCCTGTGGGCAAAGATATATCACTCGACAAATGCCACACTGGCAACACAGGGAGGGAGATTATAGGGAACAATCCCCCCAGGAAAGAGAAGACCAAGTCCTTGACATGGTATCCAAGGATAGCAAAGAGTATCCTCTTTGCTATATTCTAACAGTGAGGACAATTAACAGTGGAACGGCTTAACTTCAGAAGTTGTAGGTGCTTCATCACTGGAGGTTTTTAAGAAGAGACTGGGCAGCCACCTGTCTGAAATGGTATAGGGCAGGGGGTCTTCAAACTTGGCCCTTTTATGACTTGTGGACTTCAACTCCCAGAATTCCTCAGCCAGCATGCCTGGCTGAGGAATTGTGGGAGTTGAGGTCCACAAGTCATAAAAGGGCCAAGTTGGAAGACCCCTGGTATAGGGTCTCCTGCTTGAGCAGGGGGTTGGACTAGAAGACCTCCAAGGTCCCTTCCAGCTCTATTCTGATTGCTATTCTGATTGCTCTTTGTCATGAGCTACCATTCCCACCTAAGTCCAGGCTACTTCCCCTAGGACAGGGGTAGGCAACCTTGGCTCTTTTATGACTCGTGGACTTCAACTCCCAGAATTCCTGAGCCAGCATGGCTCAGCTTGGAAACCTCTCCCTTTCCCCTCAGCATGGCTGGCTCAGGAATTCTGGGAGTTGAAGTCCACGAGTCATAAAAGAGCCAAGGTTGCCTACCCCTGCCCTAGGATTTGGGGGTAGCCTCCTATCCAAAGAACACCTGAGCTTCTTTCTCTGAAATCAACCCAGGGCTTCCTTCTCTTGAGCAGGTAAAGATTCTCTCCAGCCAGTTTCTGCCAATCATGAAAAAGCTGAACAAGCGTAGGTTTGGTGAATACTTAGATGGCAGACATCTTAGTACCAGGAGAGCTCAGAATTGCAGACTGGATTAAAAAGATAGGGGAAAAAATCCAATGGAAACCACTTCTTTATGGCCTGCAAGGGAAAAACACGGTTGCAACCATTTTGTCCCCAGGAGCAGAGTTTATTCCAAAGCAAAGCCCAGCTATGGCATTAGTTCTGCTTGAAAGGCTAAGATGAGACCTGACTGATACATGGATGGGAGGCCACCAGGAAATCCCAAGTAAGAGTGTGTGTGTGAGAGAGAGAGGGGAAGAGAGAGAGGAAGGGAGGGAGGGAAGAGAGAGAGAGGGAGGGAGGGAGAGGGAGAGAGAGAGGGGGGAGAGAGAGAGGGAGGAGAGGGAGAGGGGGAGAGAGCAGAAAGTGGCACTGGTAAAGCACTTCCATCTTTTCCCCAAAAAATATTAAATGAATGGTCTGCCTAGTCCAGGGGTAGGCAACCTTGGCTCTTTTATGACTCGTGGACTTCAACTCCCAGAATTCCTTAACCAGCCATGCTGAGGGGAAAAGGAGAGGTTTCCAAGCTGAGCCATGCTGGCTCAGGAATTCTGGGAGTTGAAGTCCATGAGTCATAAAAGAGCCAAGGTTGCCTACCCCTGGCCTAGTCATCAGTCAAGCTTCATTTGAGAGACTCTTTTCCTTTAGACAGTTCCAGAAACAATAGCTGCCTGTTTGGGCCCTCACCTGTTTTCACCTCCTGGAAGAAGGCCAGGTCTTGCCACACCAGAGAAGAGAAGAGTAAGTTGCGAGTCCGGATAATCATCCGTGAGATCGTGAACATGAAGAGCCCCCCACGGCAGCTGGCAAACACGGAGCTAGAAGGGAAAAACAGCAAGGGGGGGAGGGGTTGGTTCCTGCTTCTCCAATGGAAACTGAGTCACAGCTCCATGTATGAGCACGTACCGGATTTGACCCGGGTGCAAAGAGAACGAAACGTTCACACGGACAGATCTAGCCCACCGTTTGAGATTAAGTTACTTCTGATGCTCTTCCCTCCATTTTGAAACGGCTTTCATTTTCACATTGAATTTAAATCAGCAACAAGATCCCTGATACCAGCCAAGAACGGATGTTCCTTTAGAAAGCTTTTTTTTTGTTTTTGTTTTTTTTTTCAGATTTGCATTCAAGTGAAAGCTAGCGATAGATCACAAGTTTTAACTGGTTAGACTTCTGCCAGGTTGCAAAACAAGCAGCTAAGGATGTCCCAAAGGTGCTTTTTTCAGGAGCTAACTGGACTATCTTGTTTTCTTTTTGACGCTTCTTCAGCTCTGGATGAGAAGCGAAACGTCTTCAAAGAAAAACAAGGAAGTCCAGTTGCCGCCTGAAAAACGCACCTTTGGGACACAGGGCAGAAAACATACTGCAGCCAAGAAGGCTCCACACACATTTGCACTGCTCAGGTGACCTTGAGGACACATATAAACCTCCAAGTGGCCTCAACAATTCTCTGAAAGAATGCAAATATTATTATTATTATTATTATTATTATTATTATTATTATTATTATTATTATTATTATTATTATTATTATGTGCAATCCCAAAACAACTGGAGCACCACTTGAACACCATTGGCATTGACAAATTTGCTATTAGTCAATTGCAAACTGCTTCCATCCTGTGATGATATCTGTAATACCATCAAACATCCACATCTGCCTATCCCAGGTCCTTGGTAAGGACTCGATAGGTAGACAAAAATGCCAAATCCAGTCTGAACATCTGGCTGACTGTGCGATGATCATCATCAACAACAACAACAACAACAACAACAACAACAACAACAACAATAATAATAATAATAATAATAATAAGATAGAAGGGACCTTGGAGGTCATCTAGTCCAACCCCCTGCTCAGGCAGGAAACTCTACACCATTTCGGACAAATGGCTGTCCAGTCTCCTCTTTAAAACTTCCAGTGTTGGAGCATTCACCGCTTCTGGAGGCAGGTTGTTACACTGGTTAATTGTTCTAACTGTCAGGAAATTTCTCCTTAGTTCTAGGTTGCGTCTCTCCTTGATTAGTTCCCATCCGTTGCTTCTTGTCCTGCCTTCAGGCACTTTGGAGAGAATAGTTTAACTCCCTCTTCTTTGTGGCAGCAGCCCCTGAGATATTGGGGAGATTGCTATCATGTCCCCCCCTCAATCCTTCTCTTTGTTAAATTAGACACACCCAATTCCAAATGACCAGCTGCCTGCAAGGAATATAAATCCTTCTATTCCCCAGCATCCAGTCAGAGCTGAAGAAGCTTCTTGGATGAGAAGCGAAATGTCCTCAAAAAACAACAAGGAAATCCAGTTGCCTCCTGAAAAAAAATCACCTTTGGGACAACCATGTCCTGGATGACTGAGAGTCTCCACAGACAAGCAGCTAAGAAGAAAGCAAGGGCTCAGGTTTGCTTCAGGAGGGCTCCAGAGAACAACCTAATTTTCAGACCTTTCTTGAGGTCTTAAAACATTGGCTGGGTTCAGTTCTTTTAGGCCTCACTTGGCCTTTCACTGGCAGGCCAAGAGGGAAAAGGCACCTCCCCTGGAGTATGCAGCTTTGGGACCCAACAACTGATGAAGCCAAGATCAAAACCACATTTACGGCAGAGATCTGGCTGATCTCAGTTGATCTCAAAAAGACAAGCGGCATCAAAGCTGGCTGGCATTGGGACAGGAGGCCACTAGGAAATCCCAGAGCAGAGGTTACACGAGGAAGTAAAATAAAAATCCCCAAAGAAGACAAGTCAATAGCTTCCTTATAGCTGGCAAGGGGGAAAAAAATGCCCCAGTATCTCCATGAAGGCAACTTCATCCAATGGGATCACCCCTTGTACTGCCTTGTGAACAAGATGCCGGGCAACAACAGAACCGTAATCCTGGGTGTGTATTTAAGGGCAGCTGCAGCAAAGGTGCTGGTGGGGCCTGGAATAAGCTCACCTTGCAAATGAGATCAGGAAGAGTAGAGAGATGGCCGTGGAAAAGGCTTCGGCGTCGTATTTGGTGCCCAGGATGTCAATCAAACGCCCAGTGTAATAGGGCAGGAACGTTTCACCTGCAAGGGGGGGGGGAAGAGCAGAGGAGGTGATGTAGGACCTCTTATCAGGAAAGGCAGCTTAAGCCATACACACACACACACACACACACACCGTAAATTGTACACCTGTTCTGTGAAATGCAAGGAAACCATGGTTCCCGTCCCAACTATGGAAAGAATGGGGCAGCCCCTCAAAATGGGAGAAAAGATGCTCGAATTGGGTCACTGAAAGAGCTGAATGGAGAGTTTGGAACATCCTGTCTTCCTGTCTGCATCTCTTTTCATCCTGGAAAACAGGACACACCCTGGTGAAAGCAAGTTCAGAGCCAACGGCCGAAGCCTCCAGAATTCCACATTTTATCTGGGCAGGAACTGCTCCGTGGCAGGAGGCAACCAAGAAGGGAATCAATCAGAGGGGATTCAGGGAGAACGTCAAAAGGAGCAGCAGAATTTCAAAGACTGAGGTCAGGTCTATTAAAGACCTTTTGGTGCGACTGAGTTATTTTATTTTCTTTAGTGTATGGTGTGATTGTAGCCCTGGTGACTATTTGTGGTTCTCACAAGATTCGCCTTTCTCGCCATGCACATGTATACATAACCCGAACTAGGCTGTTGTTTCTCTGTGTCATATAATACATGTGGTTCTATGCGTAATTCTGTATTTATTTATTTATCTATCTATCTATCTATCTATCATCTATCTATCTATCTATCTATCTATCTATCTATCTATCTATCTATCTATCTATCTATCTATTTATCTATCTATTTTATTGATTTATGGCAGGGGTGTCAAACTCAATTTCACTGAAGGCCGCATCACCCTTGCGGTTGCCCTGGGGGGGCCGGGGGTGTGTGGCCAGAGTGGGTGCAGCCTACTGGGTGGGCGTGGATGGAGTGGGTGTGGCCTACTGGGTGGGCGTGGCCAGTTCTACATCATTCACGTCAAGGGTGCCTATGGGGGGCCTGGGCAGGAGTGGGACAGACCTGAGGGTCTCTGGTAGAAGGGGGGTGGGACCAGGGCAAGTGCCAAGGCATGGTCCACCGGGGCAAGTGCCAAGATGGCCACCACAAAATTGTACATTGGCTCCCGGCTGGCCTGGGCCAGGGCCAAGGCAGAGGAGGCCGTTCCCTCACTGTTTCCAGGATGGCTTCGCGGGCCACATGAAACCATTTTGCGGGCCGCATCCGGCCCCAGGGCCTTGTGTTTGACATGTCTGATTTATGGCATATTTATGTAGTGTATATCGGTGGCTCTTTGAGAGCTGTACGCAATGCAATTTCATTTTAATGTATGCCAATTAGTGTACGTTCGAGGTGACAATAAAGTTATTATTCTATTCTATTCATTTATCCTGCGACATAGAGAATGATTTAATCCAGTATCAACTCACCAATCACCGCCAGGATGAGGAACAAGAAAGCACCAGTGAGATACAGCTTGTCTGGACGGAAGAGCTTGAGCATCTTACAAAGGGTGGCTTTGTCTTCTTTCCGGGACTCCTTTGGGCTTCGTCCTTCTGCCAGGATCCCCCAGAGGAGCTGGGAGAAGCCCACCGCCCCGTAGATTGCCAGCCACCAAGACCAAGCAGCCGAAGAGACCAGGAGGGGAGGGTCCCCAAGCCAGTGTCCCACCAACAGATACAAAGGGGGCAGGATGCTGACTGCAGCCACCGTGGAAAAGGACATCGGGGAGGCCCGACCCATGGAGAGCAGGCCCCTGACCCCCCAGAGAACCAGCAGTCGGAGAGCGGCCTCCAACCAAGCCGCTGAGACCCCCAGGGGGACCAGGGAGGGGCTCCATCCATTCAGCAAAGAGAGCAGGATTCGGTCACAGAGAAGCAGGGGAACTGCCTGAAACACGACAGGGATCAGCATCTTTCTGATGGGCTCTGGGGAGAGAGAGGGAGGGATTACTGGTTATGGGAATCAGGGGATTATGGATTTAAAAGGATCACTGTATGAGATATTTGGTCCCTCAAGTCAACTAAACTGCCTCCCAATTCTGTACCATCCAAGATCCTGCATCTAAATCAGCTTACTTCCCAGCAAAGGATTCCTGTGGCTGCAGCCTCAATACTCATTCTGAGTGCAGCAAATCTTGCGGCAGTTTCAGGAAAGGTCACATTTACACTAATTTTGGCTTCTTTGGTTACAGGCACCTTTCTGAGTATTTTAATTTGCGACACGTTCTCCGGTCCTAGGGGCATCCCGGCAATGCTCGTGAAGGCTGAAATCAGAATAACAAGAGTTGGAAGGGACCTCGGAGGTCATCTAGTCCAACCCCCTGCTCAAGCAGGACACCCTATATACCATTCCAGACAAGTTGACTGTCCGGTCTCTTCTTAAAAAACCTCCAGTTATGGAGCACCCACAACTTCCGAAGGCAAGCCGTTCCACTGGTTCAGGGGTAGGCAACCTTGGCTCTTTTATGACTCGTGGACTTCAACTCCCAGAATTCCTGAACCAGTCATGCTGAGGGGAAAGGGAGAGGTTTCCAAGCTGAGCCATGCTGGCTCAGGAATTCTGGGAGTTGAAGTCCACGAGTCATAAAAGAGCCAAGGTGGCCTACCCCTGCTTGACTGGTTAATTGTTCTCACTATTAGGAAATGCCTCCTTAACTCTAGATTGCTTCTTCGTTCAGTTTCCTTGGCAAGAAACCCCAGAACTGTGACAGAAGCGTTTGAATATCCAGGTCGGTTCTTTCAGGCTAGTAAGGATTTGAACCCAGCTCCCATCCTCCGGAGTAGAGGCGCGACGCAAAACAGGAGCCCCAAAGTTTAGATCCCGCGCAAAGTAGTAGTAGTAGTAGTAGTAGTAGTAGTAGTAGTAGTAGTAGTAGTAGTAATAATAATAATAATAATAATAATAATAATAATAATAATAATAATAATAATAATAATAATAATAATAATAATAATGATGATGATGATGATGATGATGATGTTGGAAAGGACCCTGGAGGTCATCTAGTCCAACCCCCTGCTCAGGCAGGAAACCATATAGAAAGAAACACGCCAGGGTTAGTTCTTAAGAAGGCAGGGAATCGGAGATCACTACCCAGCTACTTAAGGAGGGCGTGGACTGCGCTCCCCCTCATCCGCAGCCAGCATGAGCAGCCGTGGTGGATGAGAATGATGGGGAGTGGAGTCCCTCGCACCTCCGGAGCCGCTCAATCATCCAGATTGTGCAACCCTCCGCTCTTTTTTCCAGCCTCTCACCTTCCGGCAGCGGCCAGGAAAGTCCTTCCATGCCGGGCTTTTGATCCTTCTCGATCCGACGCCTCGCTTCAGCCGTGCCGGGCTGGGTTTCCCTCTCTTATCCACAAAACTCGCAGCACAGAGCCGAAAAACCCCCCTAACAAGTTGCTTTCGCTTTCGGTTTGAGCTTCTCGTTATGTCCCTGTGTCATCGCTTTTTTCTAAGCTGCATTAGTTGCTAATGAGCCTCCCTGGAGCAATTCCAACTGGCAGAAGGCCTGGCTCCTTGAGGAGCCCAATCTCCGGTTGTCTCTGCCCATCGGGAAGAGCGGATGCACCCCAGATCCCATCAAATCCTAGTGATGGTGGACAATCCCTTAAAAGATGAGCCAGCCGTGTGCTACATCTGTCAAAAAAAGCCAACAAGGCATTAGCAAGAGGGATAGAATCCAGATCACGCGAAGTGTTAACACCACATTATAACGCCTTGGTAAGGCCACACTTGGAATACGGCGTCCAGTTTTGGTCACCACGATGTAAAAAAGATTTTGGGACTCTAGAAAGAGTACAGAGAAGAGCAACAAAGATGATTAGGGGACTGGAGGCTAAAGCATATAAGGAACGGCTGCTGGAATTGGGTATGTCTGGTTTAATGAAAAGAAGGACTAGGGGTGACATGATATCAGTGTTCCAATATCTGAATATTTGTCTGAAATGGTATAGGTTTCCAGCCTGAGCAGGGAGTTGGACTAGAAGATCTCTAAGGTCCCTTCCAACCCTGATATTCCTATTCTATTCTATTCTATTCTATTCTATTCTATTCTATTCTATTCTATTCTTATTCCTATTCCTATTCCTATTCCTATTCTATTCTTCTAATTCTATTCTATACTCTATATTCTATTCTAATCAGGGATTGCCACAAAGAAGAGGGAGTCAAGCTGTTCTCCAAAGCGCCTGAAGGCAGGACAAGAAGCAACAGATGGAAACTGATCAAGGAGAGAAGCAACCTGGAACTAAGGAGAAATTTCCTGACAGTTAGAACAATTAACAAGTGGAACAACCTGCCTCCAGAAGCGGTGAATGCTCCAACACTGGAAGTTTTTAAGAAGAGACTGGACAGCCATTTGTCCGAAATGGTATAGGTTTCTTGCCTGAGCAGGGGGTTGGACTAGAAGACCTCCAAGGTCCCTTCCAACTATTCTATTCTATTCTATTCTATTCTATTCTATTCTATTCTATTCTATTCTATTCTTATTCTTATTCTTATTCTTATTTATTCAGTTCTATTTTCTATTCTGTTCTATATTCTATTCTATTCTATTCTATTCTATTCTATTCTATTCTATTCTATTCTATTCTATTCTATTCCATTCCATTCCATTCCATTCCATTCCATTCTACTCTACAAATCAACACGAACATCTTGTGGAAGCGATGCAGTGTCATGCCTTCTCAGTTGTGCCTTCGGGAACATCACCTGCCCAGTGACACCTGTGGGGCCCACCTTTGAAATGCCCTTTTAAGACCTGACTGTGTTCCCAGAAGTACAGTTGGGGTGTCTTTGGAGTCCTTGTGGTTTTTCTTTTCCCTGAATGTTATTTTATTTAGTTTTGTCTGGGCAGTTATGTCCCTTTTAAGTTTTCTTTTAAATACAGGTAGTCCTTGACTTCCCATAATTCATTTAGTGACCGTTGAAAGTTACAATGGCACTGAAAAAAGTGACTTATGAGCGTTTTTCACAGTTATGACCTTTGTAGCATCCCCGTGGTCACGTGATCAAAATTCAGATGCTTGGCAACTGGCTCATACTTACGACCGTTGCTGTGTCCCAAGGTCATGTCATCCCCTTTTCCAACCTTCTCACAGGCGAAGTCAATGGGGAAGCCGGATTCACTTAGCAACCGGGTTACTCACTTAGCAACTGCAGTGATTCACTTAACAACCACAGCAAGAAAGGTCGTAAACTGGGGCAAAACTCACTTAACAAACAGCTCATTTACCAACAAAAATTTGGGGCTCAACTAGGGTCGTTAAGTCGAGGATTCCATGTATTCTAAGCTGTCCAGAGTTCTTGTTTAGTTTCGTTTTGTTCGGGAAATTTTGCTCACCTTCCCCCACTCAGAAACTCTCCTGGTATTCCAGACCAGCTTCCATTTTTTGCCAAACTCCATCATCCTGGTTCCTCACACGATGTCTCCATGTATTGCACCTCTTCTTTCTGTTTCCATTATAAAGTGAGGAGCACAGCAGGGGTTTATGTCCTGGTGGGGTAGCTTTCCCAAAGAGGGCAGAGCCAAAGCCAATTTGGGGAAGGGCTCGGGAGTCCTAAGGGTGGGGCAGTTACTGTGTTTTAGGCATGTGTTTTACACCTTAATTAAATTAAAGTCTTCTACAATTCCAGACATAAATATAAAAAAGAGTCCATGTGTATTTATTTGTTTGTTACATTTTAATAGAATGGAATGGAATGGAATGGAATAGAATAGAATAGAATAGAATAGAATAGAATAGAATAGAATAGAATAGAATAGAATAATAATGGAATGGAATGGAATGGAATAGAATAGAATAATAATGGAATGGAATGGAATAGAATAGAATAGAATAGAATAGAATAGAATAGAATAGAATAGAATAGAATAGAATAGAATAGAATAGAATAGAATAGAGTAGAGTAGAGTAGAGTAGAGTAGAGTAGAGTAGAGTAGTGTAGAGTAAAATAAGAATAGAGTAGAATAGAGTAGAGTAGAGTAGAATAGAATAGAATAGAATAGAATAGAATAGAATAGAATAGAATAGAATAATAATGGAATGGAATGGAATGGAATAGAATAGAATAATGGAATAGAATAGAATAGAATAGAATAGAATAGAATAGAATAGAATAGAATAGAATAGAATAATAATGGAATGCAATAGAATAGAATAGAATAGAATAGAATAGAATAGAATAGAATAGAATAGAATAGAATAGAATAGAATAGAATGAGTTGGAAGGGACCTTGGAGGTCATCTAGTTCAACCCCCTGCTCAGGCAGGAAGCCCTATACTATTTCAGACAAATGGCTGTCCAGTCTCTTCTTTAAAACTTCCAGAGCTGGAGGGTTCACAACTTCTG